GGCTCGCCTGGTGCGTTCCAGCCTGGGTTCGTTTTTGAGCACCTTTTAAAGTTTTTCCTATATTTTTCCCATGCCATATGTTGCTTCTACTAAAAATTAACCTTCCTCCACGCAACTGTTACCAGCCGATGAGGTTTTTTTACCCAGACATTTGAAATAATAAGTCAAACGCGAACTCCGGATTACCTCCTCTTCTTCTTTTTTGAAAACAAGATGCTGTCGTCGTTTCCTGGATATCACAATCCAGGTCATTTTTGCAGCATACATTATAATTTCAGCACACGACAGAACACTCATGCCAAGAAATAAACCCATGTTTCCACCAATGTTACCTGTAAGTGATGAAATTTCCACTCATGTTGCCTCTAAGTGATAAAATGCAAAGTTGTGATTGAAGTTCTAATTACAAACACTAAGAACAAAACCGCCCGGTCAAATAAGCTGTGTATTTCGTACTAGTGGTGTTACTGGGAGGTCTCCTCACATGTCAGCGGAAGCAATATTCCCTTCCTATGGGATTTTACTTTCTCATGTGGCCGCAGTAATGTCATATGCGCCGCTCATATGACGGAGAGTCTGATTGTTTATATGGTCTTGAGAAGGCAAACTTCTAATTATGCAGCAAAATCGTACAGGATTTTTGACTTTTTTGCTAATGTAATATAGATAAGAGGACATAGCGACGGCTGAGGTCAACGTTTGGCTACAGCACAGAAAGGTCAAGCGCTCTCGACCGCAATCTAGTAATCTAGCCTAGCCATTATAAGTAATAAATTTAAAGCAATGACTTACTGAGAACTTGTGTAAGTGAGGTACTTTGGACTTGACTGTAAACAGTATACGACATATCTACATAAGCAACAGTTATTATGACGAAGTTTGTCCTGAAAATATAGAATTTAGCCGCCCAGCTAATAATAATGTTCCAGAGACATAGAGCCTAGTCATTATAAGTAATTTTTTAAGCATCTATGCTTTGACAGATTTATTCTATATGTATGTATTGGAACAGTGCTTTAGTTGAGGCAGGCCATCCTAGAAGTGGGAAGTTAATTCAACGTTATTTAAAAAATTAATCAGATTGGCACAAATAAAACCACCGCTTAGTTATAAAAAGAAGCAAGGTAGACTTTTATTAGAAAATTGTTCTGAACCTTATCACGTACCGAAATAGAACAGTTTTAGCTACAACT